TGTAAAGTCGAAACTGATGACTCTATTAGCTATTTTTTTTTTTTCTAAGAACGTTTCTTTTTTCACCGGCTGTAGCTAGTGTGTCTATCCTTTCCAGACTTCCCACGACTTTACGTCCGTACAACGGAAGCCTAATGCTAAGAGGGCGATCACTTTCGACGCGTTCGACAGTCCCTGTATCCTCAGCCCTCTGCCTCTCAGGCCGGTAAAACGCGCCAAGGTGAGTTCTCGCTGTGAACATTTTATCTTTCTTTTTTTCCTCGCGCGAGTGTAACGAGAAACGCTGTGTTTCCGATGGACTGAATCGAGTAAAATTCGTGAAGTAGAAATTTGATGATGATGATAACGATGATGATGAAAGCATCACAAGAAGAAGTCATCTGGGGCGATATTCATAGTCCGATCTCATGTATGTGTTCAAGATTGTCCTAAATATGTACCTTAGATTTATACGTTTCTAAGGTATTTATATTTAAGACCGTCTTACATTTGTGTGTCTCAAATTTACATTTAAGGCACGCAAATCTTTCTTTATATTTAAGGTATTTGCATTTAAGATTGTCTTAAATATATGTCTTTAATTTATACATATTTAAGATCGCTTTTAATTTTTCTCAAATTTATCTTAAAGTACTATGCAACAAGAAGATTAGCTCTTGTAACACCTTAAGATGAATTTGAGGCGATCTCAAGGTAGTTGTTTCGCGAAATTAACTTTTTAAAAATTTCCACGTGATGGTCATACTGACATTAGCGATTTTTTAATTTTAACTTTCAAACTGTATTCGGGATTTTAATGATAAATTTCTGTGATATTAGAGATCAACTTACGAATGCAAAACGGATCATATACAAGAAAATAAAACAGAATTATTAGCCATTGGATTTTGAAAATATTATTATTAAAAGTTTGTATTTTGTATTTAATCGAAAGTTTACACATTAGCAACACAAAAAAAATCAATTCATTACGACTTCATATAGCTTTTTCTCGAATTTTTCTCTATTAAAAATATTACTATGATGCATTTTAAGAGACACAAGGTCTAAGACCAATATTTACAGGCCTGATTTCACCAACGCGAGTTAATCAAATCGGTCGATTAAATTCAGTTTGTCCAATGGAAGGGCTAAATTTAACTGACCGATTTGGTTAACTCGTGTTGGCGAAACTGGGCCATAGTCGGATCTTACATATAACATCTTAAGTCCACCTTCAGATGCTGAATAGCTTATTTCATTGACTACGAAGCATCTAAAAGTGAACTTAAGACGGTCTTTGATATAAGATGAATATCTAAGAGTCTTTAGTAACTACTAGAGTGTTATCAACACGGCGATTATGAACATGGAAAATGAACCAGTCAGAAGTCTCCTCTTTCCTCTTTGGAGCTTATACCTGAAGCTTTCACACCGGCATTGATAATCTGATATTTTGTATTTCTATCAGTTACATACTCTAGTAGTTACATTAGAGGCTCTCCGAAAGCTAAAACCACGAGCTTGCACGACGAAGGTCATCGTTCTCCTGCTGAGTACCATTTTCTTTTGCTCGCAGCTCCACCTGGAGGCGCAGTGGACAACGGTGGCGTGCGGTCGTACGCGCGATCAGCTCGACATGACCCGCGCCGCTCGACGTTTCCTGAGCATTCACGGATTCCTCCCGTTGCGTCCGCGTTCATTGAACTTCTGAAAAGGGAGAGCAGAGGAAGGGAGGGAAAGGAAAAGAACAAAAAATAGAGTGACGCGCCCTGCTCGCGCGGTCGCCCGTCGTCGTACAAAGCAAGAAGCTACATAATGCTAAACTAGTCGTAGGTGAAAAATGTAAGGACGCTCCCGTTCGAGGAAATTTAACGCGCGGCAGCGCTCGCTATTTGGATACATACCGTCGTGTCTCGCGCGCTATATCAATCCTCGGAGAAGAGTAATAAATTATATCGGGACGAATTCGACGAGTTGGCCTCGACGCGCTGTTGGATCAATTAATTAAAGAGAAGTCGGAAGAAAAGAAAATAATAAAGAGCGGGCTTCTCGGTGGCGTGCGTGTCACGCGACACGCACCTCGAGCGGCCGGTCATGCGTTGTAGTATACCGTCGCGAAATTTCGGACGCGTCGAGCGCAATTTATCGAGTTCGTTGTATCGACCCCCCCCCCCCCCCCCCC